AGACAGAAAGGATTCCCATGCACGGGTCGTCCTGGATTTGGGAACTGATTCAGCCAGCCACCCATCAAATGGAACCTGGTCTTTCCGGAATGAGACAAATCGAACTAGGGGTGTGGGGTAGAAACACCCTCCTCGCCAGCTGTTGTCTGGAGATCGGGAGGAAAGGCTGGTTCCCACCCCTGGCAATCTCCACGGAGACGGCTGGCTGAGGAGCAATCTTGGACTCCAGGGAATAACGTCAACTCTGTCGAGATGACCAGCTGGGGCTGCAAAGGGAAGCAGGTGGGCCCCGAACGGAAGGATCCGACGGGCAACGCCTTTGGACTCGCCTGGATCACCAGGATTCCAGCCTTGGCAGGACGCTTTCGACACACACACACAAAAGGCGAACTTCAGAACATGGAACGCAGAAGTAGTTCAGAACCACGGTAGTTCAATCGAGAAGGGCTGGCCGGGGGAAATTCAGAACACGGAACGCAGAAGTAGTTCAGAACCATGGTAGTTCAATCGAGAAGGGCTGGCCGGGGTGAAAGCCAAATTACAAAGAAGCTGCTTTTGCTAAAAACGCAGAGGGTGGAAGGGCTCTGCGTGGGTGGAGGAGAGCCAGGATCTCCCCCCCACCTCCTTTATCTTCAGCCTTCCCCTACGGCTGACTTCAAACAGCTGCTCCCAACTATTACTGCATTCCAACTTTAATCCTCCTCCTCCTCATCTTAGAACGGAAGAGCTGGAAGGGGGACCCTTTTGGATCATCGAGACCAGCTCCCTGTCAACGAGGCTCGGCGGGGAATCCGATCCCTCAACCTCTAGCAATGCAGCCGGAGACCAAAACTGGGTTGGACTCCAACTCCCATCAGCCCCAAACCAGGATGGAGAAAAGCAGCAATCCCGTAGCCTCCAGGTGCCTGTGAGGTCCTAGATTTAGAGTCTACCTCATTCCCACCACACCAAAGAAGCCCACCTGTTCTTCTCCTTCCACCCTGAAGCCTGCGGGTTGACCCAGACTCCAAGCCTCGGGAGGTGGGGGCATGACTCTACCAGTTACTCCAGAGTCACAAGACGAGAACTTCAGGCATTCTTATGCAAAGAGTCTCCAAACATCGCTATTTTTAAGCCACCATACCAAAAAAAGCTTCGGCAATCCTGTCAATGCCTCTGGCCGCACGCGCCCGGGAGATGGAAGAGGGGGGAAAAAGCCCCAGGATAGAGCAGAAAGGAAGCGGACAGCGATGAAGCCCGTACGAGACCAGAAAAGGGAAAGGCGTCCGTTCCTCTGAGCCTCCGCAAGCCCCCCATCCCTCGTCTGCCTTCCGTACCCCAAAAGCTTCCATCCTCCCGCTCACCTGGTCGTCGGCAATCGCTTTCGCAAAGCGGGGGCAGTCGAGTTGCAAGTAGATGTCGGTCAGTTGATCCAAAAGCTTCTTTGGTTCGAACCCGTACTTCTCGGGGTTTTCTACTTTCAGGTCACGGCACTTGGGGCCGCACAGCTGCTGGAGGTTGAAGTTCAGCATGGCAGCCAGCCGGGGCCCAAGTTCCTGGTGGGGGGAGAAAGGTGATGGCGGGAGGAAGCGTTGGAGAGGAAACCCCCCAAGTCTCCGTAAAGACCTTGCGTTTCACCCCTAAGCCAAAACGGCTGAAACAAAACTGACCGCCTGCCCACCCACCCACGGCACTCAGCTTCCCGGTCGCAAAGTTATCAGGATCACAGCCCCTGGTTTCAAGCTGTGGATTTAGAGGCCGTCCCCGTTTTAGTTAGCGCAAGCAGCAAAATCCAAAAAAAAAACCCAAGACAGAACAGAAGAAATGTGCTGTGGATGAATATTTACGCAAAGCAATGCATTTCCTGCCCAGGCTAAAGCCTCTTCCATCTTTATTGGTTTGTTCTCAAACGAAGCACAAAGGGGCAGATTGCGTCTTTCGACTCACCGGCCTGAGGAAAGGCTTCTGGACCTGCTTAGTGAGGATGTGGAACATGTCCACTGTTTCTGTGGCCAGGGCCAGGTAGGAGCGCGAGACCCGCTCGTCTTGGGCAAGCTGCGACTGCCGGGCCTGCTGCTGGTCCTAGAAAAAAAGACGGGGCTACAGATAAAATCCCCACCATCTTGGCAGCCGATAAAGCCGGCCACCCATACCTGCGCCCAGTGGCTTTTTAAGAGGGCCGACGCGGGGACTACAACGGCGACAGGAATGGTTTTCCAGACGTTCATTCAGAAAAAGGGCTGGGAATTGCCTCCACCCACTTGTGACTGTAACAAACTTGTTTTTATTTTCATACGCTTGCAAGCTTTGTCTTAAAAACTGTTTTGCACATCACTGAGCCACCCCAGAACCCTCCACCCATTTTCTGGGCTGGCTGACATTTCCGAGAGTTTAAAATCGAAAAATATCTTAGGCCCCCGAGCGTATTTCATTCATTTTATTTGTTTTCAACCTCTACCCCGCCTATTTAAGTGGGCAGCTTCCGAGAAGATCACGGAAATATACAGACAAAGCTGAAATCATAAATATGCAAAACAAAAATCTGGTCCTAAAACCCCCACCAACGCCACCCCCTCCAGGTCAGACCAGTGTTGCAAAAGCAGAAGACGGCGAACCCGCGGGGCTGTCACAAAAGGGCCTCAAAATTAAAATCAAGAAGGCCAAAGGTTTTCGGAACGGCTGCCCCTGACGAACACAAGCACAGCTTTGCCAGGGAGATGCAGCCACTTCTTTGGTGCTTCCACAGGTGGGTCAGCAAAACTGAAACAGTGCAGGGATGGGGGGGGGGGGCTTGAGACCTTTCAGGGCCCAGAAGGGGAAAAGTGGGGGACCCTCCCTCACCCTGGGGAGCAGGTCCCAGTGCTCTTTGTTCTTCATCTCCTCCTGGACTTCGTGGATGCGCTTGAGCGACTCCAAACTCTCATCCAGCAAAAACGTCGTGTCGTTGATCAACATGTTGATGTAGCGGACAAACTGTTTGCCGGAGCTGAGAAAAATCAAGAGCAGAGAGGCAGAGACAGAAACAGAGATGGATTAAAAACAAAAAAACAAAACAGCCAGGCCCCAAGATAGGTCACTTGACCAAGGCGGAGCTGGGAGATCCCCAAGCAAATCTGCACCCAGGGATTGACGTCTCAGTGTCCCACGATAAGGAATCGTGGCTGCTGTAGTGAGGATTAGGTTATATAGTGGGGTGGATTTGACTTCAATCAAACTGATTTAAACCACAATTTAAATTTGCCAAAATCGTGGCGTCTGTGGGTTTTGTTTTGTTTTTACAATTTAAGATTTAAATTTTCCAAAATCGTGGCGTTTGTGGGTTTTGTTTTGTTTTTACAATTTAAAGAGTTTTTTTAAAAAAAACTATTTTTATTTAAATCAATTTGATTTCAAAAGAACCCCTGGTTTTTTACGAAGACCCCTTTGTACGGTAAAAGCTGCTGTGTGATCTTGAACCTGGCAAACCTGCCGGCCCTTTTCCCTCCGGGTTCCAGACCCACACGGGATTCCTCACGGTTCTGCCTCGCTTCACAACACTTTAGAAACAATCCAGTCTCTCTAGTACAATGGGTTTTGAACCAAACCATGCAAGATGGTGGTGGAGAGCAGCCATGGTTCCTGAGGAAGGAGCTACAAAATGGACAGATGGGGGCTGGAGAAAATGGGTGGCGGGAAGGGGATGAACCAAAGAATAAGGCTGGGGAGCCGAGTCCTTTGGGTTAAGAGTGGGAGGTGCCTATCAAAAACTTTTCTAGCGCAGGGCGATCTACTGCTAAGACAGGGAGCGTATCTACAAGATCTCAAGCCAAGGGTTTTTCCACCTCCTCCGCTGATTTGGTCCTTTCCACGGCAGACCTTGCAGGCTGTCCCCGAGAGCTTCCACCCCTCCTAAGCCGGAGCAGCTGAAGGCTGAGCTATGACAAGAGGAACCCCGATCCAGAACCCCCCTCGGCCGAGGCCACCCTGAGAGCCTCCCGACTCACTTGAACTCTTCCATAAAGGTGCCGTGATGAGCGATGTTCTGCCAGAGGCTCTTGAAGATGGTGCTGATGTGGTAACGGATCGTAAACTTGTCGTAGAACTCACTGGTGGCGCCCGTGTGTTCCACGTCTGCAAGAGGGGGGAAAAAAACCCACCGCAGGAGAAATGAAGACACTCTCGGGTTTAGAACAGAAGAGGGAAACATGCTTGGCCGTTTCCATCATCCCAAGAGGGACCAGCGGCCATCTGGACAGGAGGGCAGAGGCACCTTCAGGCTCCCAACCCCCGGCATTTCAGATATGGTCACTTTGCAGACCACCAAACCCATATGGGATCTGTCCAGCTTGTGGGGCAAAATATCTGCAGGGCCCCAAACATTTCCCAACGCTAGGCTGGGAGGTTGCCCGTCCCTCCCTCCTTCCAAAAGAACAGCAAAGTAAAGTGTTTTTTGTTTAATTTGGTCTCTATCCCATGTTTTTAACCATAATTGGGAGTGAGGAAAGATACATGAACCCTATAAAAATAAATAAATAACACAATATCGAAACACACCCATGGAAGAAAATAACCAAGCCTTCGGCTAGAGAGTTCTAAGGAAGACGTGTGTGGGTTTATGTCTTATTAATATTTTCTGAGCTGCCCACCTGCTCTTCACTTGACAGGCAGGCTATAAGTCAAGTGAATGAATGGATGAGAGATTTGTTTTCTGTTTACCTAAAATACTGGAACAGCAAAAACTGCAAAGACTGAACAAACAAGGAAAACTGGCAGTTTCTTAGTATAAAGGTAAGTCTCACCAGAGACTTTGGGCAAAGTTGATATGTTTGAATAATTCAGAAAAAAAATGGATAGGAAGAAACACTTGGGCCCCACAAAGGAATTCCTTCCCCATTAGATTTGACGGCATTGTGGTAACATTCTTGGCTTCTCAAATACAGAAGGGATGCAGTATTGACGGGGGATCGCTTACAAGCACACACACACACACACACCCCTGCCGGATGCCAAAAAAAGCAGTACAGTGATGCCTCGCTTTACGATTGCCCCTGACGGATACCAAAAAAATCAGTACAGTTGTGCCTTGCTTTACGATTGCCCCGCATTACGACGAAACCACATTACGACAATCTTTTTGCGATCGCAATTGCCTCCAAGCCGGCTGTCGCACAACCCAGGGCTACCCAGACAGAGCAGCGTCAGTCCCGCAGCCTGTGAGAACAGCTGGTGGCAGAGGGGGGGGAAGCCTTTCGGAGGGGCGGGAGGCGGCTCACCTGTATAAAACTTCATCAGCGACGGGACAAGCAACTTCGTGGAGAGCGGATGGTTCTCAATCATCTCAAAGAACTTCTGCGTCCGGGGCTGGACGGCCGGGTTCGTCATGAACATCACCTCCACCAGCTTGGCCACCAGGTAGGGGTTCCGGATGTAGTTCTGGTTGCACAGCATCACGACGAGGAACGTCACCACGTCTTGAGTGCAGGGCTCGTAAAGTACCTGAGGCGCATATCTGAACAAGAGGGGGAAGAACAGACACACTGAGAAACCTGCCAGGAAGGAATTCTGAGATTCACTCAAAAGAATGGCTGGGCAACTCAAGGCTGGAGGCCTTTGGCTCCAGAGCCAGAGAGGGTGAGAGTTCGATTCCCCGCTCCCCCTGGGGAAAACTCCCTCCTGACAGGGACTGGACGTGATGATCCGGAGGGTCCCTTCCAGCTCTGCCGTTCTAAGCACGTGATGGTGATCAAAGGGGGCTTCTTACTTACTGTACAATAAAAAATAAAAACTCTGCAACATCTTCCACATAAAATTCAGGCAACGCAGCGAAGACTTTCGGGACGTCGGGGTTTAAAGGCAGCTTTATGCTGTGGGCGGGACGGGAGAGAAGACGGTTCAAAGGGGTAAGGCTTTTCCTAAGGGGGGGTCATCAGAACAACCTCCTCTGTACTTAGGCCCCCCAAACCCACAATCATCTAACAGGCGCGAGTCAGCCACTTCGCCGCCACCCAACGCACGCAGGCGGCAGAGATCCACTCCGAGGGCCACTCACTCAGGATAGGCAGGGTCAAGGATCCGCAGCAAAAGCTGGATCACCATGCTGTAGAAATTCAGGCACCTCCGAAGGAAATTCTCGTCTAAGAGGCCGGCATCCGCGCACGCTTTACACCGCACCAGTTTCTGGGCCAAGACGACACGAGAGCAGAGATCAGCCGAAGAACAGATACGGGGAGGGGGGAATCAAGAGAGAACTCCCCACCCCAAGCAAAAACCAGCTCTCCAATGGACGGCATTGCTCTCAGGGAATAAAGCCTGACATTTCACAAACCATGTGTGGAGAAGCAGGGCTAAAACTGCCTGTGTGAAAACCCTCGGTCCCAGGCAGGCTAGCTGGTGTCCTCCAGATGTTTCACAACAAAAGGAGGACCAGACCAGCCGACTTCCAGAAATGGACAAACCTTGAGTTGCGTTTTACACCGTTTCAGCATTTCTCGATGCCTCGTGGCTAGCGGAGAATCCTTCCACTGGCTTTCGTTATTTTTTAAATCCTCCACCGTCCTTAAGAAACAAGACAAAGGGGGGAAGGGGAGAGAACACCTCTTAATTAAAGCCGAAGCACAATTGGCGAGAGCCGGAGCAAAGGTTGCGTTGAGCAGACTCTAGCTGCGTGACCTGCAGGATCACCTCCCGGTTCCAAACACTCCTGCCGAAAAAATCTCCAAGGTTTCAGTTCCCTTTCCCGTTTTACAATCTCACAGCACAAAACGGGGAGAGTCAGTCTACCCACTAGAAGTCAAAAATAATGAAATGCTTCAAACTTTTTAGTAGTTAACCGAATGTTACTTTCCCCCTAACTCAGAACTGGACCTGAAATTACCGTATTTTTCGCACCATAAGAAATGTTACTTTCTCCCTAACTCAGAACTGGACCTGAAATTAATAATAATACAGTGTGGCAGAAAAACAACAACAGTAATCTGTGGGTCATAAAGCAACCTGGTTTCCCCAGCTTTTCATACGTGTTCTTCCTTATAAACTTCCAACTCTGCAAACTTCCATCCTCCAAAGGAAAAAAAAATATGGAAAGTAAAGTGTGTGTGCGTCTTATGGAGCGAAAAATATAAGAATAATACAGTGTGGCAGAAAAAAACAACAGGAATCCGTGGGTCATAAAGCAACCTGGTTTCCCCAGCTTTTCATACGTGTTCTTCCTTATAAACTTCCAACTCTGCAAACTTCCATCCTCCAAAGGAAAAAAAATACGGAAAGCAAAGTGTGTTGCTGATAGACCACCCCATAGCACTTAAAAACACTCTCTGGGCAGTTTACAACTTAATTATTCAGGCCATTATTGCACCCCCCAGTGAGCGGGGTATTCATTTTACTGAACTCAGAAGGATGGAAGGCTGAGCGAACCTCCAGCCAGCAACTTGGGATTGAACCCAGGCCATGAGTCTTTGGCTGCAGTACTACAGTCTAGCCACGGCACCGATGCCTCCCTCTTCCTAAATCATCCTGACGGCACCCTTCCCCATCCCCTTGCTGTTTGGGGTGGCCGCCAAGGCTCCAGTTCCTGGTGATCCTGTGCACAAAGGCATTCCCAGTGAGTTTCTGGCCAGCGATGCCTCCCCCCCCCACATCCCTGGTGACTCACGCCAGCTTGGGCCCAGTTGAACAATGGAGCCATTGGCAGCCTACGGAGCTTTCTGGGAACGCTGGCACGATGCTCCAAACAAGACAATGCCGCAGAGGGCATGAGCGTGTGGGCCAAACGGAGCCTCCCCCAGCCCTCCGGGTCCAACACAGCTAAGCATCGTCTCCAGAGGCGCACCGCAGCCCCTTCTGCGGATCAGGAGGTCCAAATCGTTGCTGATGGTCCCCAACGACATGGCGAGAGGCAGGCAGTTCGACAGGCTTTGGCTCGGAAGCCTTTCGGGAGTGAAATACCTTCCAGGTTTGATCCTCGCTGTCTGTGGCGAGGGCTAGGGAAGAATTCTACCCGGAAATAGGTGGATTCAGGGACAGTAACCCGTGCGAGAGAGGGCAGTGGTCTAGCTCAGGTTAAGCCACTTCACATTTCGAAGTGGCAGCTGCAGGTTTTATGACGCTGTGTTTTGAAAGGTGTCTTGCTGATCAAGGGGATCAAAATGTGTTGGGTTTTTCTAAATCCACCAGGTTGACTCCTCGTTGAAGCCTTGGAGGAAAGAAGCACCGACTTTTTAATCTGTTGTTAAAGTGTCATCATGCCAACTCCGACTCATGGTGACCCCATGAATGAGCAATCTCCAGAATATCCCATCCTCAATAGCCCTGCTCAGCTCTTGCAAACTGAAGGTTGTGGCTTCCTTAGGGAATCAGTCCATCTCGTATTGGTTCTTCCTCTTTTCCTGCTGCCTTCCGCCTTTCCTAGCACTGTCGTCTTTTCCAGAAAATCCCGCCGTCTCAGGATGTGTCCAAAGGAGAACAGCCTCAGTTTTAGCACTTTGGCCTCCAGAAATCACATGGGCTCGATTTGATCCAGGACCCACTGGCCGGCCTTTCTGGCAGCCCAGGAAAGCTCTCCTCCAACGCCACATTTCAAATGGATCCATTATTTTTTTTCTATCTCATTTGCTACACCTCTACAATTCTAATAATCATTCTAAAGAACTTGATGCTGTTGTTTACTTATTTGCATCTCCCTCTAAAACTAAGGATCTCCTATGGGATGGAATTTTATTTTTTATTATTTTTTTATTTTACTTTCCGTGCATACACAAAAAATATTTGGGGCTTCACTGAATGTCTACCTCCACCGCCGTCTTCTATTTTTGGGCCTCCAAAATTCACACTTTGGAAGCAAGGCTCCCCATGCGGCTTCCTTACCGGTTGAGTTCCCGGATGGCCCTCAGTCGACGGATGTACCGGCGGCAGCTGGGCAGAATGGAGAGGTGGTGAGCGTGGAGGGTCAGGAAGAAACATTCGGTGGGAAATTTCGGCTCCGAGAAGAGAGAGAGATCCCTAGCTGGGGAAAAAAAGAGGGAAGAGAAGAAAAATGAGAAGGCAGGGGTGACCCACGCATGCATGTATTTTTATATACTGGCCCATTAGTACTGAAGCACTGTTCTGGGTGGTCTAGAAAGGGTTAAAACCACAACCCTGCAACCAAAAAACACATCAATAAAGGGGAGACAACAATGTCACAAAAGCACAAAAAAACCCAGTGCCACCAACGAATTATCGCAGAGAAGCAGAACCAGAGGCAAGATGCTCGACCGGCATCAAAGCAGAAAAGCTTCCCTCGCCAACGACTTATCGCAAAGAAGCAGAACCAGAGGCAAGATGCTCAACCGGCATCAAAGCAGAAAAGCTTCCCTCGATAGCCGTCTTTTCAGCCGTCTCCTCTAAAAGAATAGAGGGAGGGGGCCCAGCATAGCCCCTCCGGGACCTGCCTCCATAGCCTGAGCACCACCACCGAGAAGACCCTGTGCCTCTGCCAGACGTCTGGCACTTTATGTCCCATAATCCCCTGAGCACTGGCCATGGGAGGATGGATCTTTTAGTTAAAAAGACACCAAACCGATCCAACAGGCTGGACATGTGCCTATCTCTGCCCTCTGCAACCAAGCAGTAGGACCTCTGAGGCTTTGCCACCAGCGCACTCCTGGATCGGTCCTTGTTCGTCGCCAGCGAACGAAACAGGGTCGGCCGCAACCCTCCGCGGCTGCAGGAGGGAAACTCACACAGCTCTGTCATCCAGCCGCCGACATCCTCCATGGTGGCTTTCACGCGCGTTTCGTCCGGCGGGAGGAGGATGCGACACCGGGGATGAAAGATGTAAGAGGGATCCACCGTCTCCAGCTTGATCTTCAGGCTCAGCTGCTGCAGGACCCACAAGAAGTTCAGCATGAAGCCGTCCGTGGATACCAACCGGTCATCCGTCTGCAAGTCAGAAACAGCCGAGACCACGCCGTTGAAAATGCAGGCGCTTAAGAGGAGAACGCTATGACTGAAGCTGGGGCCGAGGAAGGGGTGCCCGGTTTGATCGCTCAAAACTAAGGATCAGCAGCTTCATCGTAGGAACCCAACACAAGGCCTTCGCCCTAGCCCAGCCTGCTTATAACAAGCGAAAGCAAATTGTAATTATGCAGGCTACACATTGCCTAACCAGCAAGCTGGGATACTCAATTTACCAACGTCGGAAGAACGGAAAGCTGAGTGAACCCAGAGCCAGCTACCTAAGATTGAACCCATATTGTGAGCAGAGTGTGAGCTGCAGTTTAGCCACCGCACCACGGAGCTCCGAACCTAACGGATGTGATGAAACCATTCAGAATCCTGAACTGATTGAGGAGAGGACGGTAAGGAGCACGTGGCATGTCTCTGCAAGGGCTGCGGAGGCAAAGTCACCTGCATCTGGGCCTTCTTCATGTTGGCGTTAACCACAGCAGCCATGTAGCTGAGCGCCGCCTCCCGAGTTTCTCCGTTGAGCAAAACGCTGTGCAGGATCTTGAACAGCTCTTGCTGAAAGTTGAAACAAGAAAACAGGGACTCGTAACTGAAGGGCCGCCGTGTGCCATGAAACAGCGCAGTGCAGCGGCTCCCAACCTCGGGTCCTCAGAGGCTCTTGGACGACCGCCCTGGCCGGCGCAGCTCGTGGTGAAGGCTTCTGGGAGTTGTAGTCCAAGAACCTCCAGGGACCCAAGGTGGTAACCACTGGCTCAGAGCAAGCTTCAAGGTGGCTGGGGCTGATCATCCCCTTGTTATTGGCATTTCCAGACCACCCCATCCCGACATGCTCAAGATTTGAACCCAGGCTTTTTCACGCCTGGACACCTACCCTGGCGGACTCCAGGTAATGTTGCAGCGACTGGCTCACGACCCGAGTGTTTTCTAAGGTAATAGCAGGCCCGGAGAAATATTTTTCCACTACTCTAGGCTATAAAGAGTAAAGGGAAAAAAAAAGATATCAGTAAGCAACAGTTACAGGCGGAGTTCCTTCTGTGTCCTAAAAGGATGCAGTCATCCTATGAATGTCCTCTTGTCGTAGAGAGATTTATTTGTCATTTTCCCTAGCAAACTCTCAATTACACAGCAGTACAAACAGACAGGCAAGAAGCACATAAACGGCAGAGTCAAGTGGTACCTGAAAGATACACAGATTTTATGGGGCTTCAGTTTTCACGGGCCGTAACCCGCCATGGCTGAAGCACGGAGGGACGCTCCTGAAAGGCAGATGTTTATAACCTGCCAGTGTATACACCGGAAACTTGGAAACGGTAATAGGCCCTCTAAAGAAGCTCCCAGACATGCATGTGTGTACAATAAGACCCTGGTCCCCAAGGGGGGCTTGGAATGCTATATAAATAACAAGTGCTACACCTATCGTGGTCTCTGGCTCCATCTAGTGCCCGCTTCTGGTAATGACACTGTGGGAATCTATTTCTCTGGATAACACTATACAGTACATTGCATGGTCTCTGTCTCCCCCTAGTGGCTGGATAACACTGTACACATTGCATGGTCTCTGTCTCCCCCTAGTGGCCAGCTGTGTACAGTGTACTTGAAATGGGAAGAACCCTTCAATAAAAGTTATTTTAACATTTTCAGACTGTGGTGGACCTGGCCATTTCCTCCACACTTACATCATCCTCGGCGAAGACAGAGAGGCTGAAGAAAGTCCCAAGATAAGACAGCCGTTGCAGTTCCCGGCCTGTACCGGGGCTGAGAGACTTTGGCAGCCACGACGGCAAAGACACAACCTATAGATGCAAAATAAAATATTTTTTTTTAAAAAAGGCACAGGAAAGTTAACTCTATGGGTGTATTGGATGCTCTGCTGGGCTATGCTGCCTCCATCTACCTGCTTCTCCCACCATGAACCAGACCCCGGGGCCAAAACAAATTCCCCCAAGCTGTACCATTTTAATACTCACCAAGCTGCACACCGGATGGGATTTCCCAAACTTGATTTCACACAGTTCACCTAAAGCCTAGAAAAAAAGGGGGTGGGGAGGGACAATTTCAGCAAACGGCTCCATCAGATTTCTCCCTCCAGTTCTTGGACCAACTAATAAAAGAGTGTCCCTTTACAGAAGGGAAAGTGAGTGGCTTTGGGGCCGGACGACGCTCCCAATGTGCAAGGGGAAAGCTAAAAGCCAACGTGGCCCTCCTCTGTCAGCCCTTCCCGGGACCAGGATCTGTCCTTTCCCCCCTCAAACAAGGGCTTTGAAAACCTCGGGGAGATCTTCAGAGACATGTTTGGCAAGGAGTGAAGGCAGGGCCTTCTCGGTGGCTGCTCCCAAGCAGTGGACTTCTCTCCCGGAGAGATACCCGACAGGCCCCCATCCCTATTCTCCATCCGCTAGCAAGCAAAGACTTTTTTTTGTTCAAGACAGGCTTTGGGGCAACGGACTGGAGTCTAGTACGGCAGCACACCAGGAAAGGAACCCAGCTGCCGTTTGGCAAGGAGTGAAGGCACGGCCTTCTCGGTGGCTGCTCCCAAGCAGTGGACTTCTCTCCCGGAGAGATACCCGACAGGCCCCCATCCCTATTCTCCATCCGCTAGCAAGCAAAGACTTTTTTTTGTTCAAGACAGGCTTTGGGGCAACGGACTGGAGTCTAGTACGGCAGCACACCAGGAAAGGAACCCAGCTGCGGAAGACTACTTGACCGGGAAGGCCGTAGAGCGTGCCGTGATTTTTGCTTGTTTTTCTAAACGACTGCCTTTCGAACACCCCACCCCAAACACAGTGTGCCTTGCATAGCCATCGATGAAAGAAACCATTGTGAATCCAAGAAAAATGTGAACCGTAAGAGAAAACAGCACTCAACGCTGAAGGAGGGAAGAAATTCGGGACTCAAAAACGCTGTAACGGCTTGGGGAATTGACAAGGTTTCTGATGCTAAATAGTAACAACAACAACATGAGTCACAGGCAAGCCCTTCTGGGGAACTTATTCCACAGAACCGGAGCCACCATCAAAAAGGCCCTGCTCCTCCCACAGCATTAGCAAGTGCAACGTAACAGAAAAACCTTTTTCAAAGGAATGAAACTTATTTGGGGGCAAATCCACATGAGCCTCTTTCTTAAGCGTTAGCCCTGTCTCTCCAGGGCAAAATGTCGACCACCTTTGCCAGCCTCCAACTTGTTCACGACAAGTTTAAAAAAAAAACAAAAAAACCCTTCCTGTCCAATTTTGCAAACTCCTGGTAGCACAAACCTTTGCCCTGTTTGGTGCCCAGCAAACTGTGAAACAGCCATTCAGGAGCTGGCCGGGCTCGTGAATGGAGCGTTTGTCTTCCTTCTACACCGAAGCCTTTGTCTTACACAATTAAGCGCCGGAGGAATGCGGAGACCCCGGGACAAAAAGAACCTTCTCTGCTGCCGCCGACGCCAACGCCTCCCACAGCCCTGCCGGGCAGGGCGGGAGGAATGGCAGGCCACCACCGAAGGAGGGCCGTGGGCAATGGACCACACCTTTTACATCTCCTGGATGGCACCGCAGCCCCATCGGGACAAGACCCTTTCCCCTCTGGACGCCCTCCGTTCACACTCTAATCTCCCCATTGCAAAGACTGCGTGGGAAAACAGCCCGAGATCCGGCCTCAGGTGGAGAGAACCCCTAAATTGGGATTTTTCCGAGGAGTCCCCGGCCGGCCGGGGCAGCAAAAGCAACAGAGAACCTCGTGGGACCTTACAAGTGAACCTGTTTTCGTCAGCTTTCGCAGATCATGGCCCGCTGGGTCAGAGGCACCCCCCCCGGTGACCCAGTTCCCCATGACGCCCATTTTTTTAATGAGCCGAAGGGCGCATCTTTTGCCTCTGACCCAGCAGGTTTATCTTCCCACTTAATACAGAGAGCTCACTTCCTGGGTGGATGACATGCTGAACAGACCCAGCCTTCGTTCGGGCGACCAGATCGGTGGCTGGGGCTGTACCACTTCACCATACCCGGTGGGAAGAGGCTGACATGGTTAAATCTTCCTTTTCAGGAAAAAAAAATAATAAGAGACCCGCACAGAGAGCTCTAGCAGGTTCAGGATTAGCTTAGGGTCCCTCTTCCTCATGAGCGAGCCTTCTACAGGCTGGGATTCCACATCCCTACCTGCTGCCCCCTCCCAAAATACAACCCTGAGAAATCTGGTCCCCTGACTGCTGCCTTTACAACAAAGTAAGCTATTCCACAGACCATGGGTAACGGATCGCCTAGGAAACAACAGCAGCTTCATGAACCAGGAGAAAAAGAGGAAGGAATGCTACTCACCATAAGGGGGTACTTAAAATTGTCACTATCTAGGGAACACTCTTTCGAAGCAAGAGCCAGGCCTTGCAAAATAGGGATAAAAATCTGTTTGTGGAAGAAAGAGAAAGAAAATGAGTCGAGATTTCCTGTCTTAGGGCAAACACAGCCAGCCTGGGCCCATTTCACGCATCACTCAGATGGAATCCCCCTTTTTAAACAAGAGTGTGGATGAGTGGGTCGGTCCATCAGTGGCAGAGGGACAAGGGACAATTCTCGGACGCTGGCCGGCCGGGGGGGAGGGAGGATGGCTGACCTGCTCGAAGACCTCGTTGTCCTGATGCGTCGTCCGGACCAGCTCCTGGATGAAGCCGAAAGGGAGGTTCCGGCAAAGCAGATAAGGAACAAGCAACGACTGCTGCTGGAGGGACCTGGGTGCCCCCCCCAAAAAAGAAATCAGGGAGGTGAGGAAAATTCTCTCCAGCTTCCAGAGGGAAAAAGGGAGTGAGCAGGGAGAGAAGCCATTGCCCCCACCCACCCACCTGCAAAGAGGCCTCGGGGGGGATTTCCATAGCTATCGTGCTCGCCTTCCCCCTCCCAGAGTTCTCTGGTCACGCTAGG